CATTGTTCATCACTTTTATACTCTCTGACAATATTTGCTTCTGTTTCAAATTTTGATTGTGTCTCTTCCCTGACACTGTTGCCTCACACATTTTGTATCTCCCACAACATGCAACACAGTGCTGGGCAGTTACTGTGGGTTTAGTGAGAACTTGCTAAAGAATTAGTGGCCCTGTGTCCTAGAGAGCCATGGAGGTGGTTGGGATGTCAGACCAAACCAAACTCACTGCCATTAAGTCGGATCTGACTCATAGCAACCCCTCCTTGGGTTTCTGAGGTGGTATCACAACAGAAGTAGATTGCCCAACCTTCCTTCTGAGGAGTGGCTAGTAGGTTTGAACTGCCAGGCTTCTGGTTAGCAGTCAAATGTCTTAGGCACTATGCCACCAGAGCTCCCTGGGATGTCAAGAGGTGGGCGATTTAAAGCTCTCTCTCCCTTTAGCCCAGATACTCATTCCGAAACATCCCAAATTATGTCCCTTGGTAAAACCAGGCCATGAAAGTGGCTGTTGATCTAATGACAATAGCTGACACAGAACTTCTCCTTGGCCTCCCTCAATCTCTTCTTCCCACCTCCCAAGCCCTTCAAACCATTCCCCTCCTGGGAGAGACCAGGATTTGATTTCTCAGTAACCTCCCACATTAGCCTTTCCCTTTCCTATATCAGAGACATGAATACAGCTAACTGAAAGAAGAGAAACTGAAACAAGCCAGGAGTTCAAGAAGCCATTGGTTTTAATAGGGATAAGAAGATAGGGAAGGGGTTTGGTGGCAAAGTGGGGAGTAGTGTGTCTCTTCATCTTCCTGCATTGGCAGGGGTTGATGTGTGGAAAGGGGGGGAACACTGACTGCTCTCATTTTGGGCAAGAAGTCAACAGGGAGGAGCTTGGAGAGATGGAATGTGAGAACTTGGCCTCCTTTCACGAGGAAAGAGAACAGGACACAGAAAGAGGCAGTCACTGCCTTGTATCTTTAAATGTTGAACAATACTGCACTTCTGTATATATATACAGAGGAGAAGGGAAACTGGGTTGGAGGTAAGAAAAGTTCAGAGGGGTTAGGCAGTTAAAGCAGCCTATACACTGGACTGATTCTTCAAAATCCAAACCAGCTGGACAGGCAAACTCCTGGTCTCCCCTCAATCTCTACACTCGACCTCTCTGATGAGCTGTCCTCCTGCCTTCCCTTTACTTCTACTTCTTCCGCCCAATCTGTGCCATCAGGTGGGCATTGGCTGCTGCCTTGGCTCGCAAGTTTTTGGCCTTGGCAATGTTGAAGAGGATATTCATGATATTAGTGGGGACGTCGAGGGACAGAGTGAACTTGGTACGTCGATCACTCTTGGCCTTGTCCTGGTAGAGCTTCCCCTTGAGCTGTGCTTGGGACAGGGATTTGTACCGGGTACTTCCACCTCCACCCCCACCTCCAGAACCATGAAAGGTCCTTTTCTCCTTGTCCTCATTTTTTTCCTCTTCCTCTGCTCCTGAAGATGAGTCTTGGCTAGGCAGATAGTGGAAGTTTCTCTTACTCAGTAGAGGTTCATCCTCCAACTGGCTCTTTTTGGTTTCAGACAGGGCTGCATTGATGCAGCTGAAGATGGACTCAGCTTTGTAGAACTTATGGGAGAGGCCTGCACTTGGGGTCCCTAGGAGCAACAGCAGTAACAGCAGGAAGTGGGCTGGCATCAGCATCTCTCCTGTAGTAGAAAAGATGTGGAAGGAATGGGTATGAAAAGGGTTTAGGGGCCAGAACTTGTTGTCAAGTTGACTCCAACTCATGGTGACCCTGTATGTGTCAGAGTAGAACTGTTTTTTCAGAAGCAGATCATCAGGACTTTCTTCTAAGGCACCTTTAGGTAGACTTGAAGCTCTAAACCTTTGGTTAGCAGCCAAGCACATTAACCATGCACATCACTCTGGGCTCCTAAAATCCAATAGGATGTTGCTAATATTCTACTATAATAGTTCTCAAAATGTGGTCTCCAGACCAGCAACATCAATGTCACCCTGGAACTTGTTAGAAATGCAAATAATTATTGGGTCTCACTCTAGACCTAGTAAATAAAAAACTCTGTTGTTTAATATATCCTTCAGGCGATTCTGCTGAACACTGAGTTTGAGGACCATTACTCTATTAGTTAGAGCTCTGGTGGCATATGACCTAAGGCATTTGACTGCTAACCAGAAGGCTGGGGTCAAACCCATCAGCCACTCCTTGGAAGGAAGATTGAGCAAGCTACTTCCGCAGAGATACTGCCTCAGAAACCCACAGAGGGTTTGCTATGAGTTGGATCCAACTCGACAGCAGTGAGTTTGTTTTGCTTTTTTTGGTACTCTACTAGTATTTATGGATTTTATTTAATTTAGCCTTGTAGGTAGACACAGGCCCTATGTGAATAACAAAGTTCTTAACTATATCTATTAGCCTAACTTGATTTATTTCAGCAGCCAGGCAAATTTTTAGTTCTCTCTTAATTAGCAAGGTTAATTCAAGACAAACCTATTGCTTAAAGACCTCATGGTTGGTGGTCTAGTCATGTTTCTGAGGCAGATCGTCAAGACTAATACTCTGCTACTATCTTTCTGTAAGAACAATCATGTTTGTTAACTTGGTTAGTTTGACCACAGCATTTATGAAGCCAAAATCAGCTTGGTCTCTGTGTGAGACTTTAAGTATCTCATAAGAAAACCTATACTCTCTAATCATAGGACCTCAATCCTAAAACTGTCAGTTGTCTCTAATATGCGTGTGTCCCTGGTTTTAAGTAAAGAGCTTGGTGGTACAGCAGTTAAAGTGGCTGCTAACCGAAATGCTGGCAGTTGGAGCCACTCTGCAGGAGGAAAATGTGTCAGCCTGCTTCCATACAAGTTTACAATTTTGGAAACTATGGGGCAGTTCTGCTCTGTCCCACTGGGTTGCTATGAGTCACAATCAACTCCATGGCGATAGATTTTTTTTTTTGTATTTATTTATTTATGGTTACAAGTCAGGCTGAATAAGAGTAATTGTCCCAGAATCAACCCAGGGTCACTGCTTCTCAAGGGTATACTTTATTAAAACCCACTGTCATCAAGTTGATTCCAATTGGGTTATAATGAGCTGGAATCGACTCAATGGCAGTGGGTTTTATACTTTACTGGGAGTAACTTAATGCCTTCTTCATGTGCATTTTTTTGGTATTTTAAATGCAGGTGGTTTGCACAATTATCTCCTGGGCAAGAAGGAGGTACTGTGAGGTATGAAAGAAGCATCATCAATGGTGACCATTTCAATCTGTTCTTTTATTTTTTAAAAAAAGAACAAAAAAGAAAACTTAGTTTGGGTCATGAAACATGTGCCAGTAAAAACATCCAGATCAGTGGCCTTCCTGTAACTGGTACTTGTTTGGGTTTTAGAGTTCTGATATTTGACCCATATATAAGCCTTCCATATGCTTGTAGTTGTCAGCCCACTGATCAATAGCATTAGACAAGGACTTTGGACTGCTTTTTCCAGCAGTGGAGAAGAGCTTGTGCTGAGCCCCCATGCCCTTCTGCCCAGTCTGTCTCCTTTGCAATAATAACACACAGTTGTTTGAGAAAGTGATCAGAATCAGTGTGGTTTGTGGTCACTATCCCTTAAGAACACTGTGAATGGCAGAGTTTACCTCCTGCATCTTAGGATTGACTCCTCTCATCCCCTTTGCCTAGTCACTGGGCACACACTGTCTCCAGCTCCGAAACAAGCACATGATTGTCATTTCTCATTGGCGTCCTTAATCATTCATGAGAGAAAGTATGAGTTCAAAAATGTAAAACATCTGGGGTTTTATCTAAACTCCTCCTAGACTAAGCATAGCTGGCCGTTCTGTAGGCCCTGGCATGTTGATATCCTGCTAGAGCCTTTTTCTCAGGCTGCATCTTTAGAATGAAACATATCCTCTGCTTTCCTATGAGATGCAAATAGTGAAAGGCTGAGCTGGGGTGCTTTATCTAAACTTGGAGTGACTTTTATTACCTATGACATATTTGGCTTCCACAGTAGTAAGTGATTATCTATGAAACTTGGTAAAATTCCTTTATGATGATAGTTTTAGAATGAGCAAAAAAAAAAAAAAAAAAATAGGATAAACAAATTGATTTAAGGATTCTTCTGAACATTAAGCTCGTGCTAGGTGGCATAGCATCATTTTGTTTTCTGTGTACAACAGTGACAGGAAGGAGGCTGGCAGTCAGAGGCCTGAGTTCTAGTCTCAGCTGTGCAGCTTATTGTCAATGTGACCTTGGGCAGGTCATTTTCTACAAAATGAATGGTAATGGACTCAAGATCCCTTCCAAATTTCTCTATGCTGTAAATGGATGAAGACTAGAATTGACCATTAAAAACAAAACCAAAACTGAATCTCAGTCCATATTCTGTTTCTTTTTCTGTGTCATTGCTCTTTCACTTGCCCTGGAGACAGACAAACAGAAACACACACACACACACACACACAACAGATATATTTACTTGGCAAGTGTTCTGACAAAACTGTTGCTTTCCTAGGCACTCCTCATTGTACTATTGCCTTCTTTTCTTGATTTTTTTTTCCCCTAAGAAATTAAGTTGTTTTAATAGTTTGTTCATTTGTTTTGCATTGTAAAATTTTGGAGCTCGTTTTATCTAAAGGTTACGAAAAAATGCATGATCCTTGTTTAAAATAACTCATATTTCTAAACTAGCTACATTTAGGCATGTAACATTGTGTAGTGAAAACAACATAGGACTTTGGAGTTAGATAGACACATGTTCAAATTCCATCTTTGTCTGATGGCCTTGGGCAGATTACTTAACGTTTCCGAATTTCTGTTTCCTCACCTGATAAATGGGAATAACAATGACTACCTCATAAAAGCCATTGTGAAAGATTAACTAAAAATGAAAGCTCTTGGTATAACCAGGCACTTAATAAAAGCTGGCTCGTATCTGTCTGCACATAAATAATCTGCAAGTCTTTAAGGATAAGACTTGATTTATACACAATCTTTTCTAAAGTGCATTTATTATATATAAGCCAGGCAATTTGATCCTGCAAATAAATATCCTTGTTCTATTGTGTTTTGCTTGTATTTCTTGGCTACATACAACCCTTTGCACCCCAATCAAGGCAGACTCTTTTTACCTTTCCCTTATTTAAATAAATGGTTCTCAAACTTCAAAGCTCTTTAGAATCATGTGGAGGGACTGTTCAAACACAAGTTACTAGGCCTCATCCCAAGAGTTTTTGAATCAATAGGTCTTCTGTAAGGTCTGAGAATTTGGACTTCTAGGAGCTCTGGTGGCATAATGGCTAAAGCATTTGACTGCTAACCAGAAGGCTGGCGGTTCAAACCCACCAGCCACTCCTCGGAGGGAAGGTTGGGCAATCCTACTACTGTAGTGATACTGCCTCGGAAACCCAAGGAGGGGTCGCTATGAGTCGGGGCCGACTCGATGGCACATAACAACAACAACAACAAGTTCCTAGATGATGCTAATGCTGATGGTCCAGGGACCACTCTCTAAGAACTACTGGTCCAACTATTCCACTCTGTCTCTGCACATGTTAGAATTGTATGCTGAAGTTCCTGGAGAATATTTTGTAGGCCTCTGTGGAAGAATGGATTTATGCTTTCTTTAAAAAGTATGTTCAATAGCCAGGCTTTATCATTTACTGAACATCTAGTTAGTTCTTTCTACATAAGTGCAGTACGAATCATGGCTTATACCTCAAAGGCATCTTAAAGCTTGGGAGTAGTTTTGAATGCTTCATTAACACTGAAAGGATTTAAACAACCAAAAAACAACTCACAAAAGAAAGGGTTAACATTGGTGGTTAAGTTAGGGAGAAACTTCCTTTTCTATTCCTTTGGCCTCTGTCTGGTTCCTTTCATAGATTGTTCCTTTCACAGACCTGATCCTCAGTCCTGCCCCTCCATTAAAAAGTTCAATGACTTTAGGAATGTTCATTGAATGTCCAACATTTTCATTTATGAGATCAGGGGACTGACTTAGAGAATCTCTTTGTTCTGATTCCCTTATTTTTCTACTTCAGAACGCCAGAGGCCCCTACTAAAAAGAAAATGAAATAAAATAAAATAAAATAAAAAAAGGACTGAAAGAATTAAATGATTTCTGTTTTTCCACCAAATAAAGAAGACTCTGAGTGAGTGGAAGTAGAATAAGGCATTTTAAGACCTGCTCCTGGAACCGTCCTAAGGCTTCTCTCATGCTGGGTTTCTATACTGTTCTCTCTTCCTCCACCAGCTTTGCCTCTTTCCTCAAACTTACAGCACAATTTCCAGAAACTAGGCAGAAAACACTTTCTCCCTCTCTTCTCTCTAACTCCTACCCAAGGCAGTTTTTGGCATTTACCCTCAATCATCTGGAATTTTACACAGTAATTGCAGATAAGTAATAAAATAACTCAGAATACATTTTGTCTCCACATCATTCTTGGGGCTCTATCTCTGCCCACACTGTCTGCCTTCTTGGTGCAAGTTAACTACTGAATTTATCTGCTTAAGTACTCAATCCCTTAACGACTTGGGCCACCTGGAGTGTTGGCTTTCTTTGGTACCCCATTTCTGCTATGATATGTCAAAACTTTGACTACTCAGAGATTTCCCCTCTGGGTCATTTTGGCTCTCAGTTGAGCCACTTGGGACAAAGTGGTCAAGAGTGTTATGTACTA